TGAGAACCATGACTCGAGCAGCTCGCGGCTCACACGGTTGTCACCTCTTGCGGCCCTAGTGTTGTAGGCCCTTTGCCTCTATTGAATGGCTTCACCTATCTTCTTATCTGCGTAGACCGCTACATCCGCTGTGCAGAAGCTGTCCCTTTACCGAATATGCAGGTAGACACCATCGTTAGGGCCTTCGTCAGTCGTTGTGTCGCCATTTTGGGGCGCTATATACTGTTACAACTGATCGACATGCCCAATTCGAGTCTGACCTTTCCCAAATTCTTCTCAAGTTCCTTGGTTGCATTCGCATCCGGACGACAGTCTACTAACCAGCTGTCAATGTTATGGTTGAACGATTTCACCCCAAAATTAAGGATACCCTGCGAGCTGCAGATGACCCAGGCAACTGGTTGGACAACCTGCTCCTGGTCCTCGGAATTCGCTGGAAACCGAAGTCGGATCTGGATTGCAGCGCGGCCGAGGTGGTGTTCGGCACCACCCTCCAACTGTCGAGATGGTCAGTCCAACTTCTCGTGGTCCCGAAGAGACTGCGATAACTTTATCCGTCGTCTCCGACAATTTCTGCGCAAAGCAAAAGAAGTCGCTTCGTTCACCGGAATCGTAGTTTTATTCATCTGAGCTTTCGGGCTCTTGCGGGCGTCCATCGTCAGAGATAAAACGTCAACGAAAAGCGAGCAACAGTTATTGGGGGTAGGAAGCAATCAACTGTTACAGGGGGCGGAGGGGGAGAGAAGGGGAGGGCGCTCTCTTTCCCCGGTCCCGCTTCGTACTCCATCGACCTATTCTTATGTCAATAAAGGCTTGGCCAACTGCACCCATGTGTTTGGGCGCTGCAAATAGATGCGGAAACCCCTGGAACCACCGTACGAAGGACCGTTCTGAGTTATCTCATGTAACACCCAGACCTGCCGGATCCTTCGTGGTGACAAGGACGATGGGGCCAGCATCGATAGCGTCAAAGCTTCTGTCACAGAGGAGCCGCTGCACCTGCCACAAGGACAACATTGTGCTGATACTCTACCCTATATTCCTACATCCGTGCTCCTTCCCTTTTCCTACCCTCACTCCCACTTTCCCGCATACTCTCTCTCACTACAGTTTCGCAACTCCAACTATAAACTCACCTTCCATCACTGTAGCAGGTACTCAGCTCTCTCCAACTATTCCGCCCGTTTACACCACTCGCAGTGGAGTCGCGTCCACTTCCCTCATCGTTTAGTCTCGCATTTCTTCTAGACAAAGGCGTATCCTCCGGCGTCGCTTTATGGTGCCCTTCGGTCTCGGAGGGGATG